ACAATCAAAGATTGTTGAAGGTTATTATAATACTTCATGAAACTACCCAAGCAAACTTTGACGGAGGCAGTCACTTTGGTCGGAGACAGTTTGGATGCAAATGATGGCGATGGTGATGAAGGCAGTGATAAAGAAGATTCGAGAAAAGACGAGGACAAGGTTGTAGCTGTCGGTCACTGGGAATATAGTTATAATGGCGGTAAAGGGAAAGGCAAAGGTTTCGGTAAAGGAAAGGGTAAAGGTTTTGGCAAAGGAAATGGTTGGTATGAATGGCGACCATGGGGTAAAGGACATTGGTATAGTAAAGGAGGAAAAGGGAAAGGAAAAGGAAAAGGTAAAGGTAAAAGAAGTCGTGATGAGGACAGTGATGACTCACCAAATAAACGGATGAAGGTAGGTAGTGAGTGGAAGGATGAATGTGATGTGGGACATCCTTCGAAATATGTTATCGTAGGTGACATCACAGTGATAGCAGTTCTTGATACTGGATGCTCGAGAACATTGTCGTCGTTGAAGGTCGCTGAAGCGATTGGTAATGACGTTAATGAAGTACGAAATAATGATAGAGTGACATCATTAGCTGGTGCAGTTCCTATATATGGTAGTTGTTCATTGGTTGTAAACAAAGATGTTGAGTTGAATAGTCTTGTGGTGAATAGTAGAGAGGGAATTATACAAATGAATCACAAGCCTATTGATATACTGTTAGGAATGGATTATTGTGATACAGTTGGATCCTTGAAGTATGTACGGAATTGTAATGAAGTACAAGGGAGTGATGCTTGTGTGATAGTAGGAGAAAAAGATGCAGTTATAGAAGAGAGTGACTTCACAGCTATAAGACATGAAGGAGAATGGAGTATTCGATGGAAATGGGTTGATGGTGAACCATCTGAAAAAGTCATTCGTGTACCCTTCTATAGACAACAACTACAAGGATTAGATAAACAACAGACCAGGGTGGTCGGTGGCTGGGGGTTTATAATAAACCCCGTCGAATAAACCCCGGATAAATACCCGGGGGTTAACGAGTATAAACCCCGGGGGTTAATAACCTATGCGGGCGCGCGCGGAGCGCGCGAAAGAAAAAATAAGGTACAAGAGAATGCGGCTGGATTTTCATCACTGACCGCATCTGAGTATATATTATATACTCGGATGCTACGATTATATACTATATAATCGTAGCTCCTTCATTGGTCCCAGACTGGGACTCCCAGTGCTTGTGAATCTGTGCTTCGCAAATTCTTCTGTCATGGTTGTGGACGGGTATCTTTCACTATTCAACAGTTATTACTACAAGGCCCCAACTATATAATGGATCGCCCACTGTCTCACCCTGGTGAGAGATAAGCGCGCTCGCCCAGGATACGCGAATGATCGAGGATAATTGTATATACTCGTATATATTCATTCATTCGTATATCACTTGGGGACTGTGTTGATGAGATGTCATCTATTCTCAAGCGCACATCCTCAGTTGCCGTTTTGCACTATCCACTCGACTCTATTTCCATGCCTATGACTGTGGAGTTGAATGCCCAACCGAGTGATCACGATGGAGATAAAGACATGGTGACAGCTGTGGCAGAGGCAAAGACGGCACAAGGGTCAGCTACGATTGAGACTCTAGAGATAGCTCGTCAGAAAGAGCTATTCAAGCTCCGTGTGGAACGTGGCAGGGTCCAGGGAAGGGTGAATGATGTCAGGGAAATGATGAAGAATATCATCGTACCGGACGAAGGAGATCCCCCCGAAGAGCTTATGGATTTGGCTTCGCGGGAATCACTGCATCTGGATCGTTTGCGAAGAATCCAAGCGGAGATTGACGAATTGGAGGGGGCCGCACTAGCAGTAGCTCTTCGATCTTCACATGGTGGATCCAGTGTGAGCTCGAAAGCATCGAAGCAACTACAAAGACAGTCATCGATAGGCTTGTTTTCCATCAAGGGCTCAGAGCGGATTGAACAGGAAGTGGATCCGAACTCTCCGGCGAGGGCATCAGTCCCACCACGAGGCGATTCGGCGCCAGCGGTCTTGTATGCAATACCTCCGTCCCAATCACATTGGGATGGGGGGAACTCTCATGTGGCCTATGCGCCTTTTGACGAGGAGCGGGCTTCACAGTGGGGTGCCATGTCGAGAGATATCGAGGGCTCATATACTCTCATCGCACGAGTGGGGATCTGACAGTGAC